CCTGGTGGAACTTAGCTAGAGTTTCCTTGAGAGTCCAGTTCATGTGCTCTACTTTTCCTGAGCTCTGGGGTAAGTATGCAATGTGCCCACTCTATTTCAATTTTTGCCCCTTTTTTAAGGACACCCAGTACCCTGTCTTGGTTAGCAGTTTGAACAGCTGGCAAGGGCCCTCCCAGCACCCATCTCAGGTTGGTGTGGCTGAAAGGAGGTCATCTACACACCACAGTAACACTGGGTCAGTCTCCTTCTCAGTGAATGATTTTAGATCTCTGGCCAGGGCCTCTCTGAGGGGAGTGGGAGAGTTTCTGAAGCCCTGTGGCAGTCTCGTCTGGGTCTAAGCTAGCTAGGCTGAGGATTGTAGGTGCCTGTAACCCTGATCTTTGTTTCCTGCCAGTGGGCTTTTTCTTTTTCCTTTTCAGAGCAGATACAGAGCAAAATTCGAAACACAGAGTTCTGAAACAATACACAGGTAGAGGCATTCTCTTGCACCAATGCATCCACTGTTGTCTCCCAGAGACATACTCCTTCAGGCCTGGTCTCATGGCAGAGACATGCTGCTTTGCTTCAGGCTGAAGCCCCTTCCTGGGTCCCTGGTGGCAAAGGCATACTCCCCAACTGGCTACAGGTGACCTTTCCTAGGTCTTACATTACAGGTTTCTGATCAGAAAGAGAACTACATGTGAGAAATTTGCTCTTTTCCCACAAAACCAGAAAGCAAGTAGTTGAGGTTTCCTTTACTTCAGGTTTAAAACTTTCACATCCTTTATACACATTTCTACTTATCTATATTTATCTATCATTCTTTTTACTCTTGGTTCCTTTGCTTAGGCAATCTGGTGGCTCCCTGCTCCCAGGAGGTATCTGGTTTCCCAAAGGACTCACTGCCGGGGCCACCAGTGCAGGCCCAGTAGGTCTTCACAGCTCACTCCTGGCTCAATCAAGGGGGCTCAGCTGGGGTAGCCCTGTCTTCTTGGCGACCCATTTAGCAGAACCAGGTGCAAGGGGCCATGTAGGCCTCGGCCACCTCCAATCCCTCCAGGGCGGGGAGGGAGTCACTCTTGCTTCGTAGATTTTTTACCCATGGAGCCACAGACACAGTCACTCCCACAAACACACAGACAAACATTCAAGAGTTTATACAGTCCCACCGGAGTAGGACTGCCCAGGTGGGGATACGTTTCCCCTTCCTGATGGCCAATTGGCCTCCAGAGGACTTACAGCTAATTGCCTGCCTGAGAGATGATCAGTCTCTCCTTCCACCGCAAGGGGTGGGCCTGATCTCGGGCTCTGGTCTGCAGAGCACTTACCGATCAGTGCCTTCTCAGGTCCAGATAGTTCCAGTCCGCATCCTGCCTGCCCAGGTTGAAGAGCAGTCCAGAGGATGACTTCCCATCAGCCTCTTCTCATGCTCTGTCCTGTTAGACAGGGTTGTCTGAGGAGTTTACACAGGATGGTTTCCTTACACTTGGAGAGTTCAAGACCCTTTCATGGATTCACAAACTGAAAACTATTTTTATAATACTCAAAGGTTTTTTTTAATTGTTGACATTTGCACTAATGTTACAAAAGCATTTGTGGATAAAATTGCTGCTTAGCATAAATCAAGGCAGCAGGACCCAACTCTACTAGGCGTTGTATTTTTCACTGCCAAGCACATCAGTAAGAGAAAAAAGTGCCAGTTCACTTACAGATGCCCTTGATGAAGCACTAAAAGTTGTTGGTATAATTAAATCTCAGTCTGTGAGTACCTGAGATTTTAAGACAAAGGGCAAAATAACTTGAAAAGCATTCTGCACACCAACACACAGTAGAAAAGCATTTGTGTGAGTTGTGAGCAGAACTAGCAATTTTTATCATGAAACATAAGTTTTACTTGAAACAAGTGACTGACAGACTTTATTCAGTCTTGGACATTGGCAGATATTAAAGGAATTAAGTGAATCTGTCACTTTTAGGAAAATAACTAACATCATTTGTTGCCAATAATAAAATTCAGGCTTTCAAACAGGACTTTGGTTTATTTTATAACAAGAAACATCAATACTTGGGAGATCTGGTTCACTTATTGAACTGATAGTTCCAGATAATCATTGTACAGTGTTACAGAGTTATACATCGGTGAATTACCTATTTCAAGAGCAAGATAAACTAATGGGCTTTGATGTAACAGTATGAAGAACTGTGTAACATTCCTCATTGCAACTACCTTTTACAAAACTAACACTTATCAAGTTTTTATAAAGAATCAAAGAAGACTTCCTACTAATCTGGAAAGATTTCAAATATTCCTTCATTTTCAGTGATACATCTGAGTCTTCATTTACTTCAACTAAAGCAATGCATTGCAGCAGATTGGATGCAGAAGCAACTGAGAGAAACCAACTGTCTTCCAAAAAGTCACTCATTAATGTATTTTAATAACAAATGTTATTTTATTTTATTTTATTTTTTTGCACCCAGAGAAATTTAGTGAAGGCAAACTTAACACAAATAGGGAAGAAGTTGTGACCAAAAAAATAAATAAATAAAGATGCGTGTCGCAGGGAAGTGATACATGACAAAAAGTCCCCACTAAAGGCACTCTCAGAGACACTTCATAACCACGAAGCATAAAAAGGAAACTTATCCATACTTGGAAAGAATTATGATGATTTTCCATGTTTAGAAAAGATGCTTGCTCTGGGTATATAACAAATGTTATTTTAAATTAATAAACATTTAAATTGCTTCTGTTTTACACTCTAATATAGTATGTATTGACAGATCTTATCCAAATAAATGTAATGTCTTTCAGTTGTCATATATTTTCAAGAATGTAAAAAAGTCCTGAAAACAAAAACTAAGAATCTGGAGAGTGGCAAACTGCTTGTTTTTAAGAGCCAGGTGGTGAATGTTTTAGGCTCTGTGAGCCATAGGGTCTCATAACTTAACTCTGTTGTTAGAGACAATAGATAAATAAATGAGTATATCTGTGTTATGGTACAGCTTTATTTACTAACACTGGTGGCAGGTAATAGCTTGCTGACTATTGCAATATTTCCCCTAAAAGAACATTGATAGGACTCTTTGAAGACATAGCCAGGTATCCTGAATGCATTATTATGTGTTCCAGAAGTGTGTCGATTTTGTTCTCAAATCTGGAATCTGAATTCTTCTGAGTTCAGTGCTTGTAAAAAGAGGCACTTTTGTAGTATGGTTTTAATGGTGACATGCATGCCAAGCTTCTAGTACTTAGGGAGTAGCAAGATCTCTCACAAGGATGCTCCCCAGGAAGGGATAGCAGGATTCAAGTGCAAAAAGCTAACTGCTTTAGTGACTTGAGTGGAGTGTGGTCACTGTAAGTGTGGCATGTATCCATAGGGTTCTTTGGCAAATCAGAAATGAATAATTCCACTTCTTATTTTCATAAATAGGTATTTTCATTTCTTCAAGTTGAACTTGAAATGTACATAGAATTTTTGAAGCTAAAGATTTCCATGGAAATTCCTTATTGCTGATTAACTCTGGTTTCAGGCTGGTTTCTGAGAAACCATGAGCTGGCACAGGAAATTTCAAGACATATGTATTTATTGGGTTGGCCAAAAAGTTTGTTTGTTTTATTCCATAAGATGGCTCTAGTAGCACTTAGTTGTCTTTAACTTCACTTGAAACAATTTCATTTGAATGTATCGTGATAAGTGTCATATCAGCATACATTTAAAAATAACTGGTGAATTTTTGTGTGGCCATTTGAATGTTGAAGATGAAAGAAAATATGCAACATTTTCAGCATATTATGCTTCATTATTTAAAGAAAAGTAAAAATACAACTGAAACACATACAAAGATTTTTGCAGTGTACAGAGAAAGTGCTGTTACTGATTGAATGTTTCAAGAGTGGTTTGCAAACTTTTGTGCTAGAGATTTCTCCCTGAACGATGCTCCATGGATGCGTGGTCCAGTTGAGTTGATAGTAATCAAATTCAGACATAAATTGAGAGCAGTCAACATTATACCATGTGGGAGTAGCTGAAATAAAATATCAAAGTCAGTAAAGTTATTGGTGAAAATAAAAAATATATATTTTATTTTATGGAAAAAAACTAAACAGACTTTTTGGCCAACCCAATATGTAGACTTCTTTGTAACAAGAGAACATATCTTCCTTGTTCATCCCTTAGTCAGGTGAACCTGCTTCCCTCTTCCACTAGCTCTTGTCTCCCTTGTCACCATCTACAATATGAAGCCTGGTTTTTGGTACCTTGGAGAAGTTGAGAAAGTTTGTCAAGTCAGATGAAGATAGACATAGACTTAGGTTGTGGTTGAGGGTCTGTGAACCAAGGTTGCACTTATGGACCATTTATGGTCCATGGTAGCTGAACCTTTGGTGATCTCTCCCTTCTTCTGTTGAGGCAGTAAGTCAGGCCATTGCTAGAAACAAAAAATACCCTAAGATTGCTCTCATATGAGTCTGTTTGGCATTGTCAGCAGTATGTAGAGATGCACGGAAGTGGTAAAGTTGCATTGAAGGCCAGGGCTCTCACTGTGTGAGAGACACACTGGATCTTGGTTCAGGGAGGAGCATTAGAAGCACTGAGAGCAGCCTCCATCTACAAGCAGTGAAAATCTACCAGCGAGCAGGCTGGTTATGGCATCCTTGCCTGTTCCCATATATTCTATCTTCAAAATGTTTTGGAATCTTCAGGAGAATGGTTGTAAAGAGCACACTCCTTTTAAAAATTGTGAACCCCTAGGTATCTCTATATAATTTAAATAATGTAGGATCAAAATGATGTATAACTTAAATGATGTAGGATTGTAAGTGAGTCTATTTGTATTTCCATGTTGATTTGCCCCTAGGCAGGATTTCATTCTAAACAGTGTACTGAAAAATGTGTATGGATCTCTTAATTGTTGGTGTCTAATTAGCTTCGGATATTGAAATGTTTGCTTTAAGATTTATGCTGGATTATGTTTATTCTACAGAGAAAAAAGTGAGTTTGTCACTTATGTGCCCTTAGATTCTCATGATGCAGTTTTGAGATTTAATGCTGCTCCTACACGTGGCTATGAGAAAGATGTTGGAAATAAAACCACTGTGCGCATCATTAATTCCCAGGTAAGATTGATGGAATGCTTCATGGATGTGCATTCTATAGGTAAATATTTTCATTAGATGAGTGAAAAGAAGTTACCTAGTTTCCCATGATCATGATCTTTATTTCTATGGGTCTTGTGATTATAAAGAATTAATGAAGAAAAAAGGTAGAGAAATGGGAATTCATGTGTGACATGAACAGAAAAAATGAGTAAGATCAAAGGGAAAAATCTGTATACATATATTCATATATATATATATATATATGTGTGTATATATGTATATTCATAGACTTACCATGTTGCATTCTGTGGACTTAAAAAGCTGTTAAACTTAGAAGTTGTTGTGGCCATGAGAAGCAGGGGATGAAGGAGAGAAAAGCAAAGATACAAAATTTAAGGTAATCTGGTAGCTTGAAAACTTTAGTCTGTTATTTAAAAATTTTTTAAATTAAAATGGATTGTTGAATTGAAAATATCTGTACTCTTTGTGTTCTTAATGTTTTCCAAACTTGTGGCAAAATTAGAACAAACTACAACAATTTCTAGAGTTTCAAACTATAAAGAAAAATATGAGGTGATAAATGACTTATGATGAATTGCTTGCAGAACAAAAGGTTAGATTTCTGCTTATTACCCTGATCCAGATGGCATACAGCAAGATAAAAAACAGTTGCTGTATTTACTTATTTTATAGATGCCATTGATTATAAGATTCACCATTCATTTAATAAGAGCTTTTCAGAGAGGAGATGATAAATTCCATCAAATTAAATAAATGTCACCTGTAAGATACACTTTAACTTCAGAGACATTAAAATACAAGGAAAAAACTGTAAGAAACTGTGCCTTAAAACTGAGGAAAACAATACATTATTTTTCCCAAAACTGTACTTTAAAAAAAGATTATTGGCAAGTGAGATTGAAGAACTCGCCTAAAACTAGATAGGATCACAGAGGGAGAACAGTCATATCAGGGCTGACACAGGTTGACTGGCTTGCTGTGTCCCCTTTGTCCCAAGGCTGGTGCACTAGAGGCACCTTTGTAACTCAGTTTGTCCCCACCTGCCACTCTCTCTCCAAGTTACTTATGAGGGCAGTTGTAGAAGGAAGGTTGTGGGAGCCTGAATTAGCAGGAGGGTTATATCTCTCAGGAACTGTTTCAAAACCACTAGATATGAGTGCAGTGCTTAAAAAATCTTAAGAACTGGAAGATTTTTTTAAAATTTCATTTCCCCAGACATTTCTTTTAAGTGCTTTAGTGCATATGCCAGCCTCTCTTTCCCTCCCACAGAAGAAAACAAAGTCTGAGGAATGTTTTAAGAATGAGTCAGAACACGGAAAAAAATCATTTCTCTTTAAAGTCTGATTTTGGAGAAACAAACACTTGCTTTGAAATGGTTTTTCTGTGTATTTGCAGATTCTGACCAACCCCAACCATCACTTCATTGAAAGTTCATTGTATAAAGATGTCATTTTGGTGGCTTGGGACCCTGCTCCTTATTCTGCAAATCTTAACCTGGTAAGTTTTTCCTTTTTTGCTTGTATCCTAACCCTAATAGTCAGAAGGTGCCTTTGATTGATTTCTTATGGAGGCAAGTCAAAGATTGAGCTTTGATAGAAATAATGAAATTGATTGTGATTACCATTTAAATACCTGTGTATTTATACCATCTTGGTACCTACTCCCAATAGCATATTTGGTGAACATTGTCTGTCTAAAAAGGGCTTTTGCTCTGCAGGATTTTTTTTTTACTGTAAAATGTTATAATGCCCAGAAATTCCTGGTTACACTGAAGTTTAGGCTGATTAAACTGAAAATGTTCCTGTTATGATAGGGTTTCATCACCTTCCAAGAAGTTATAACACCTTTTGAAATACATTGGAAGTGCATGGCAAGAAAAATATAAACCTGTGCATCAACATCTTATTATTAATTTAAATGAACCTGTCACAGGCTTTCCTTGAGTGTATCCCTCTTTGGCTCCAGCTTCTATACCTACTTAATCTTATGATAGAGCATAAACAAAATTATTCCTAGCCTACAAAATGTAAGCAAGTTATATGCATGACTTTCTGGTAAATCATTGTCTATCTAAACAAGCAGCTAATTACTTTTGGTGAAACCTTGGGTGAAAAGCCAGTGTCGATGTTTTTTAAAGAGGGCTGGGAAGATGGATGATTATTTAGACTTGTGAAAGATGCTGTCAGCTGCACCAGTGAGAATTTTCCGACCTGTTCTGCTATGAATGGAGAGAATGTGGTCTTGTCAGATAGAATCTTTCTTTGCTCCAGCAAAAGGCAACTTTCTAAGAGAGCTGTCCAAGGGTGAAAAGAGTGTTCTGTCTATGCTCACTTTGACACTGAGGTTGGACCTTTACCTAGCTGATTACTAACCAGCTTTTCACCAGGACTGCAAATCAAAACCACCTGCAGAGTATTTTTCAAATATATCTGTCAAAGTCCCATTTCTAGAAATGTAGCATTCAGCATTGATGTATGTTTTTTGAGAAAGCCTGGTTGATTCTCATATGTACCCTCTATTGAGAATCAAGCATCAATGAGTATTTGAACCTTTCAGCTTCCTTCCCAGCCTGAGGTTCTCTGGCTTTAAGTTCTGATAGCTTTCTTGCTGTTTGAGGACAGACTAAAAACTTCTAGCTGTTCGAAGCATCCAAGCCTAAGGCCCTGAGCTGTCCAACCCCATGGGTAGAGGTGCTGCATTTAAGTGACAAGGCTGCTGCCTGCAGGACCTGTCCTTCAGTACCTCTGTGTCAGGACTGGGAGGAATGGAGAAGCAAGTTTACATTCCTCTGGCTCCTTTCCCACTGCCTCAGGGCTTGGGGCCATAGTTCACTTAAGATGATCTGGCTCAGCCCAGGCTGGTGTAGCTCAGTGGATTGAGCACAGGCCTGTGAAGCAAAGGGTCGCTGGTTCAAATCCCAGTCAGGGCACATGCCTGGGTTGCAGGCCAGGTCCCCAGTAGGGGACTCGCGAGAGGCAACCATACATTGATATTTCTCTCCCACTCTTTCTCCTTCTCTTCTCCTCTCTCTAAAAATAAATTTTAAAAAAAGATGATCTGGCCCAGTTATTCTCAGCATTTTTAAAACAGAACACATTCAACACCAGTATATTCTTTGGGACATTACAGTAGAGGAGAGAATCTGTTTGAAGTGAGCGAGGGGCCTGAGCCCTTCTAGTTGATCCTGTCTCTTCACACCTTCTCCAAATTCCATTTCATACTGTTACCTGAGACACTTCTGCAAACACTTTTTAAAACAAACCTATAGTTTATTTCTTATACCATAATTCATGTACAGTTAATGTAAGTATACATTTTGATGAATATTAGCAAATACATATAGTCATGTATCTATGACTACAATTAAAAAATAGAATTTTTTAATCACTCCAGAGAGTTCCCTTGTGCCCCACCCATCAGTCTTCCCAATCCCAACCCAAGGCCTAGGCTTTAACTGATTTGCTTTGTCACTATAGATTAGATTTGGAAAACATTACTTCTTTAGCCCGGGGGTCAGCAAACTACAGCCATAAGCCAAATATGACACTGTTTTTTTAATAAAACTTCAAAAAAACATATTGTATTTTTTTCTATATCCATTTAACCCATTTATTCCCTTCCCCCTGATCACTACATTGTTGTCCATGTCCATGACTCCTTTTTCCTTTTTGCTCAATCCCTCCACCCACTAACCTTCCCCAACCAGAGCTGTCACCCTGCTCTCCATCTATGAGTTCATCTGTAATTTGCTTGTTAGTTTAATTTGCTCATTAGATTCTACATATAAGTAAAATCTTATGGTATTTGTCTTTCTCTGACTGACATATTTCACTTAGCATAATGTTCTCCAGGTCCATCTATACCATTGCAAAAGGTAAAATTTTCTTCTTTTTTTGTGGCTAAGTAGAGTTCCATTGTGTAAATATCCCATAGTTGTTTTATCCACTGATCTACTGATGGACCCTTGGGCTGCTTCAATATTTTTGTGACTGTACATAATGCTACAATGAACATAGGGGTGCTTATGCTCCTTCAAATTAGTGTTTTGGATTTCTTTTGATGTATTCCCAAAACTGGGATCACTGGATCAAAAGGAAGTTCCAATTTTAATTTTTTGAGATATCTCCATACTGCTTCCTACAGTGGCTGCACCATTCTGCATTCCCACCAACAGTGCAAAAGGGTTGCCTTTTCTCCACATCCTCACCAGCACTTATTGTTTGTTGATTAATTGGTGATAGCTATTCTGACAGGTGTGAGGTGATATCTCATTGCAGTTTTAATTTGCATTTTTCTTATTAGTGATATTGAGCATCTTTTCATATGTCTATTGGCCATCTGTATGTCCACTTTGAAGAAGTGTCTACTTAGGCCCTTTGCCCTTTTTTTTAATTGAATTGTTTGTTTGGTGTTCTTTATAAATTTTGAATATTGATCCCTTATCAGATGTATTGGCAAATATGTTCTCCCATTCCATGGGTTGTCTTTTTATTTTATTGATCATCTTCTTTGCTGTGCAAAAACTTACAGTTTGATGTAGTCCCATTAGTTTATTTTTTCTTTTGTTTCCCTTGCCTGGGAGATATATCAGATAAAATATTGCTACGAGCAATGTCCTAGATTTTACTATGTTTTCTTCTGGGATTTTTATGGTTTGGGGTCTAATATTTAAGTCTTTCCATCTTGAATTTTTTTCTTGCATAAGTTGAATTTTTATTAAAATGAAGCCATGCCATTCATTTTGTATCTTGTGTGGTTGCTTTCCCAGTACAAAGACAGAGTTGAGTCTTGCTGCAGAGATCGTATAACCCAAAAAGCCAAACATATTTATTATCTGGTCCTATTCAGAAAATCTGCTGAATGCTCCCTCACTTTACTAAAGAATAGTGTCAGTCCCTTGGGGCTAGAACCATGCTGCTCTCTTTGTACTCAGTCCCTCCTCTACTTCTGAATGCCTCCCTCCTGGTGCTGCCCTGTGCCCTTTTCACAGTGTAGTCCTCAGTACTTGATTGTGTTGATTTTTTTTTCTCTTAGTGGTACAAGAAGCCAGATTACAACCTATTTACTCCATATGTTCAGCATCGTCAGAGAAACCCAAATCAGCCATTTTACATTCTTCATCCTAAATTTATATGGCAGCTTTGGGACATTATCCAGGAGAACACTAAGGAGAAGATTCAGCCCAACCCACCATCTTCTGGCTTCATTGGTAGGTATATATGAAAACTGGGAAGATTGGGTGCACAGGGAAGGTTAGGCCTGATACTTAATAAATACACATTTCTATTATGTAATAAGAGCAATTAATAGGTGGTTTTAGAGGGAAAATATACTAACTGAAGAAGAAACATTCTGTTCCAGTTTCTATTGCTGTGCAACCTACTACCCAAAAATTCCAAGGTCTAAATAAGAACTACTTTATTTTCTCTCATGATTTTGTGGGTCAGGAGGGGCTTGTCTGGGCAATTCTATTGTTCCACAGGCACTGATGAGGGTCACTTGGTTATATTCGTCTGTGTCATTGGACAGCTTCACTCCCACATTTGGCCCTTTGGCAGGGACAGCTAGGAGGCTCATTGCAGCTGGGACTCTGCACCTGTGGATGCATGTGGTCTCTTATATGGTGGTCTCAGGGTAACTGGACTTCTTATATGGTCTCCTGTCAAGTGTTCCAAAGACAGGGAATAGAAACTGCCAATTTCTTAAAGTGAGGCCGGGAGACGTGCATAGCATCTCTGTGCTGTGCTCTATGGATCAGAGCATTTAAGGTCCTACTAGATTCAAGGCATGGACACATAGACCCCACCCCAGCCATCTCTGTGCACATTGCCCATGTGAAGCCAGGATGGGCAGCTGAATATGTGACCACAGGATAGTACCAGGTTTGTTGGTCCAGGCTTTGATGAGACTAATGCTAGCACCTTATATGCTTTCACCACTAGAATCTCTATTCTGAAAATAGATTTTACATAACAAGATTATAATACTTGGCTTAATATTATTTTTTATCCAGGTTTTAATCCTCAAAGTTTTTGGTCTTACTCCATTTCTTTACCTATGCTTCAGCTTATTGCCCCATTATTTCTTTGATTTTACTGAGTAACACTAAAGAATTTCTTAGATCTCCTTGGCAATATGAAAGCTATAATAGGACAAAAGGGTATTAGTTTTTTGCATAAGAAACTATTTTGTTCTTCACCCTAGTTTTGAATGTATAACCCTGCACCTTAACTTTGGCTGCATAGTGGATCCCTATGAATAAAGGAGAGATTTAAGAAGATAATGCTGGTTTTATTATGGATATAGCAGAGGTGTCAAACTCATTTTCACTGGGGTCTCATGGTTGCCTTCAAAGGGCCAAATATAATTTTAGGACTGTATAAATGTAACTACTCCTTAACTAGGGGCAAGGAGCTTGGTGCTGCTGCTGGATAGAAATAAGGTGCCAGGCTGGATAAGGTAAAGGGCCAGATTTGGTCCATGGGCCTTTTGTTTGCCACCTGTGGGATACAGGGTACACACACAATATCTGAATTAGGGATTGCAGAGTTTTTTGGTGTTGTAATAATGTGACTATTTTCTGCAGAATTCAAAACAAAATTTACACTATGACTCTGCATATTATTTTCCTTAAGCATGGCACCCCTCTCTTAATTTTCTAAGTCATGTCTTTGACACTTTATTTCTAAATCACTATTTTAAAATCCTAAGCCCTTTGTCTTTTGTGCAGTTCCATTGCATCCTGTTGATTTGCAGGGGCGGGAGGCAGGATAATCTAGTTTATCAACAAAGGGTAAACAGAACAGAATAATATAATGCTTAGATAGCATAATAGGATATAACAAGTTTAATAAAGCCTTTTTCTTATTGTTGCCTTCTCGTGAAGTCATTTGGATGATATTTGTTAGAGCAAATGTTTTAGGGCACAGTGAGGGCTTGTCAGATATACTTATTATGATATGGTTTGAGATATTCAGGTTAGTTAGTCATAGCTGGAGACCCATTTGTTTTTGTTGAAACTAATCAGGCCATGTATATAAAGCTAGCTTCCTTCCATAGCTATTTACTGAGAATTTGGAATTTTCAGAGCTGATACTTGCCTTTAAGACTTCTATTACATGGAAAAGGGGGATTGTTGTTTGATGTCTTTATAAGAATGTCATTGGGTTGGACATATTGAGTGTGAATTCTTCTCTACCATTTACTAGTTTTCTTATTATGAGCAAGTTGCTTAATCTTGTGAGCTTCTATATGCTCATGTGAGAAATGCAAATAGCATTTGCTAGTGGGCCAATCTGCAGTTGTTGTTATTTTATAGCAATACTCTATCCGGCACGACAACTGTTAGCCATAAATGCCTATATGCATTTCAAATCAATTAGGACTAAATAAGAGGAAAGCTTCAATTCCTCAGAGTCATTAGCCCCATTTCAGGTTTTAGGGCCATGTGCTCCCAGTGGCTGCTGTATTGGGAGTGCAGATATAGAACATCTCCATCATCACAGAAAGTTCTGCAGGCAGCACTGTTAACTTTTGCTAGTCACAAAGGAATGAAAAAGAAAGAGTCAATAAGGCATCATTAAGTCCAACTGGGCAGGCTGGGGTTTGTGGGGATGCAGGTGTGTAAAAGGCATGGGCTGACATCACTGACTTCACATGCCACTCTTGTCCCAGCCATATCTCTGTGTGAGGCCCTCACTGAAGATGGGCAGGAGATACAACCTGGGCAAGCTGTGTCCAGTAGAGCCCCATTATCCTCTGACTCTTCTGCTGATGTTACAACCTTTCTACCCCACCATTGATCTTGTTCAGAAATATGGACATTCTTATATATTAGTAAAATGATGTCACCCACATCTTAATATATCTGCCAGAAGAATATTTAAAGATCAATGAGTGTTTTTTCTTTCACCAAAAAGTGTTCTCCCAATGTCCCTTCGTGTTTTAAGGTCATGTTGAAAAGCTATTGACTTGTCTCACCACCTCATCATTTCCAAACAGTCTAACCTGTGATGTCAGTTATTGAACAAAATAAGCCATCATTTAGCCCATCGGTGATATTAGGCTGTTTTCACATGCACAGTTGTGGGTTTGGCCAGGTGCACAGTCAGGTCAGCAGACACTAGTCATCAGAGAAAAGCCCTGTGGCAACCCCTTGACTTTCTGTTTTGCTGATTGATTAGCACAGGGCTCCACCTGGAGGCAAAGCAGATGACCCCCTTTCTTCATTGATGTGCTGTTCATCCAGCTCCCATTTAATGTCTTATGTTTCTAAACCCACTGCACATATCTTCCCTGTACATGTTTATAAACCTGCTTGTGCAGAGAAGAGGGATTCTAAAAGGGACTAGAGGGACTGTTTTGAACACAAAAACATTTCTTTTTATGGAAATTTAGCCAGTGGCTGTTAGATTCCCAGGGGAACATACCAGGAAACTTAAATGAAATGTTAGGTACTATTTAGAGGTCTGATCCTGGGGACTGAATTCATTGTGTAGGTGGAAGGCAGTGAAGATGGAGCAGAAACATCATCCACAAGTGTGTATTAGTTGAGCACCTCCTATGTGCCAAGCACAAGCTGGGTCCTAGAGCTATGGTCATGAGGAAGCCAGCCAGGCAAAGGTCCTGTCTCCAAGAACTGACAGTGCAGTGGGTGACAGACATTATATAGGTACATTGCACATAAAATACACAAACTATGATAAGTGTGGTAAAGGAAAAGAGCAGAAGATATGGGGACCTAGGTTCCTGCTCATTGTCTGGCACACATGGTAAATGCAAAAAATTACTATTTGGAGATTGAATTGAATGTTCTAGCTCATTGGTTCTCAAAGTTTAGCATACACCACAATCAGCCAGAGGGTTTATATATTAGTTACCTAATGCTGTGAAGCAAATTGCCCCACAACTCAGGTACTGAAAAGAACAATAAGCATTTATTATCTCACACAGTTTTTGTGGGTTTGTAATTTGAGAACAGATTGGCTGAATAACTTTGTTTAGTATCTCAGGGCATTGCAGTCAAACTATTTATTTAGACTTGGGCCAGCCAGTCTGCTTTCAAGGTAGCTTGCTTATACAATAGCTGTTGACCAGAGGCCACCTGGACCTGTCCATAGGGCTGTTTGAGTGCTTAAGTCTCCTCACAACATGGCTGTTGGCTGCCCAGAGCAAGGGATCCAAGAGAGAGAGAACAAGGATGGAGGAGGCCACAGTACTTTTCATGGTGTCATAAACTATCACATTGGCTACTTTCTATTTGCTGTACAAGTCAGCCTCATTACTGTGACATGGAACTATGCAAAGATGTGAATACCAGGTACTGATCATTGGGGGCCATGCTTGTAGCTAGCTACCACAGCATTTTAGGAGGGTTGCCTGAGTCTGGCCAAGTAGCTCTGTTGTTTAAAGTGTCATCTTCGTATGAGAAGGTCACAGGTTTCATCCCCAGTCAGGGCATATACAAGAAGTAACCAATGAATGCATAAATAAGTGGAACAACAAACTGATCTCTCTCTCTCTCTCTCTCTCTCTCTCTCTCTCTCTCTCAAAAAAAAGTGGGAAGGGATCACCTGCGCCTACTCCGAAAATTTCTGAGTAGCTGGAGGTGGCAAGAACTTGTATTTCTAACAGCTTTTTAAGTCATGCTAACTGATGGGACTCCACTTTGAGAACCACTCTTCTGACTTTTTAGAATCTTAAAGTTGGAGGTAATTTTAGAAATCTCATCCACAGGGTCTGTACTGATAGGCGTATTATCCAGGTGATAGGCATTTGGCTCAGTGGGAAAACCCAGAATTCTACCAATACATTATCTTTTTTGTTTATTTAAAAAGATAGTCATAAAATTTACTCCCATAATGGAATCATTTTATGTTTTAAATGGCATTTTATGTTAAAAACAATATAAATGGCATCTGTAATGGCTGACTGTAAATACCTTCTTAAAAGTGGATTTTTTGCACTGGCTGGTGTGGCTCAGTTGGTTGGAGTGTTGCACTGTGCACTGGGGGTTTGGGAGTTCAGTTCCAGGTTGGGGCACATGTCTGGGTTGCAGGTTCAATCCCTATTCGGGCCGCATGTAGATGGCAGCCTATTGATCTTTCCCTCTCACATCAATGTCTCTTCTCTCTCTCTCTCCTTCTATCTCTCCCCACTCTCTCTCTCCCCCACCACTGCCCTCTCTCTTTAGAATCAATGAAAATATTT